ATGTTCGTGACTGAAGATCTCTGCCCCGCAGATTATAGAAGTAAACGCGCTGTACGTGAAATAATGAATAAAGCCTATAGCGAAGGACGAAAACCAAGATTTCGGGATGGAAAACTATATATAAATGGGAAACAATACACAAACCAACCATGTGCCAACTGAATCTAGAAGATAGCGGTGAATCAAAGATGGAAATTGGTCTGAGTGGTCATATTTCTACGTGTGTATCCTTAACTGTATGAATTAATATACATCATGAGTATTAACGAGTTGTTTATGTGTGTATATTGTTTTATTAATCTTTATTCTACAATATTTAACTATTAAGCATGTATCTGAACGCCTAATTTGCATAGTGCTTGTCTAAATGACAATGTTTCATGGGAATGAGAATTTAAGGTAATTATGAAAAAATGGCACCAAAACAACCCAGTATTGAAATAAAACTAACTGGTTAAAGTAAGATTCCCCGATGCATGCTTTACGGGGGCCCTTAAGCCCATTCAACACTATATTTTGTCTGCAATCGTTTACGGTTGTTTTGCTAAATCATTTTTTTTTTTTTTTTTTCTTTTTGCTATTGATCTTTTTGTTTTTTCTGTGTGTGTATTATGTCAAAGGTCAAAATAGTGTCTTTAAATGTTAGAGATATTAGGGAAAGTATAAACGGAAAGAAATATTTCAATTTTTACGTAACAAAAAGCAAACTACAGGAAACTTATTCAAGTCAATGAGTCGAAAAAGTTTGGAAATCTGATTGGGGAGGCCAGTTGTTTTTATGTCATGGTTCAAACCACAGGGCTGGCACCGCCGTTCTTATAAAGAGGGGAGGCAAGGGGGTAGCTGGTACGGTTTTACGGGAAATAAAAAGGGCTTTTCACAATTTACGAAGAAAAAAAAGACGTTTTTACAGTTTACAGTGTTAACAAATGGAACATTCAGTTGAATGGTCCGAAGAGCTCTCCGACTCAAATTCTCCGCCATTGCTGCGCCGTGTGAAGAGACGCATGCGCATATTACCGTCGTAATGCTCTTCATTCGGTTAGAGGGCCTTTTACGTCTTGACATTCAATTTTGTAGTGAATTGTGTCATCTAGTCGTTTTACAGTTTCTAAAATGTAATTTCCCTGGATTGATCTTTACGATTTTTTTATTTGGATGTGAATTTTTGTACGTATATATATACGTACGAGAAAAATGACACATTTTACAGTGTACGAAAACAATATTTGATTGATTACGTTGTACGTCTAGCCTGTGATTACAGAATTACGGAATTTATTTTTTCTATTTACGTTGTACAAACAAAAAAATATTGCAATTACGTTTAACGAAAATAACCCTTGCCCCCCCTCTATAAACAAATCTAGTGATCTGAATATTGGCAGAAATGTCAAAGATTTACAAGGTAGATACATCCTTTTAGAGTGTC